AGTTCACTTGAGTCTCTAATTTGGCTCTGCTCCCAGGGAACCAAGCCAGGGGGGAAAATACGATCATTAATAATTCACATTGCTTGTTACACCACCTAGCAGCAATACACAAGGGCTAAGTGTTCAGCAAATACTTGTGGAATGAACAGGTGAAGAACAGGGCTTGAGCTTCTGATTTTCCATGGAGGATAGAGGGAGAATGGAGCTTGCTTTTTTTTTTTTTTTTTTTTTTTTTTTTGCACCTGCTGCAAATCAAATAAAGAGGGAAACAAAAGTAAAGGACAGAGAGACTTAAGTCAACAGAAGGCACTCCCACTAACTCTTAACTGTGAAAAAGTCATGGGGAACAGCTGGGAGGTTAGAGTCTACCATAAAATCCAGTCTCCCCTGCTCTGCTTAGGGTATAATACCAGCTGAAAGCTGCATCTTCAGCCTTCCAGCAAGGGACGGCCGTGCTGGTCATATTCCGACCGGTCCAGCAGTCTGCTGAAGAGAAAGGAAATCACTCCCCAGATACTCGGGCATCTTACTACGAAGGCATCGGGAGCCCACCTCAAGGAATGGTGCTAGACACACTGTCCAAACAGACCAGCTTTCCGCTTCTTCCATGTGGAGGAGAAACATATTCAAACAAATGCCCCATTACAACTGCCATAACTGGGAAGTTTAAAGGGCTTACAAGGTAACAGCTAAGACGGGACTTGCATAAAGTCAAGACGTTAGTAGGAGTTGACTCTCAGGATCCGATCCATGCGGGTCGAACCCCAAAGTCCGTGCTTTCTGCTAATTAAGCTAAATCTCGTGGAACCAACAGTTCACATATCACCAGTATTGACACAGAGACGAGGTTCACCATTTTTTCTTTCAACAATGCGATTGTTTTTTCAAAGTAAGAAGCTCTTAATTGAGACTCTTTAAGCACTAGTTCCTTGAAAGAAAATTACTCGGGGGCTGGAGAGATGGCTCAGTGGTTAAGAATACTGGCTGCCCTTCCAGAGGACCCAGGTTCAAATCCCAGCACCCATATGGCAGCTCACACCTGTCTGTAACTCAGTTCCAGGGAATCTGACACCCTCACAACAAAGCACATACAATGAAATTAAAGAAATTTTTAAGAAAAGAAAAGAAAAAAATTACTCTTTTAATTTTAGACGCTTTTCAAATTGCACTACTTTAAGTACTTAATTGTTCTGAATTGAAATTATACAAAGACCCATCAACAGATGATCAATGATTAATTAACAAATTAGTAATAACATTCCGTGTTTCAGTCATATGAAAAGAAAATGTACACGGTGCCCTGAAGATACTTTACCTGCTTTGAAAAGATGTCGTAAGCTCAGCCCACACTTTAACCTTCCACAGAGAGACATCTCCAGGCAGGGAGCCTGTATTTAGTTTGGGAAACATTCTATTATTCACATTGAAAGCCCTGATTCTGCAAAGCCCTGGTCCTTCCAATGCTGATGCCTCCTCCTCAACAACGCAAATGCATACAAAGTTTACCAAGGATGGCCGCTTACACTATGTGAAGGTAAAACTGTGTCTTAAAAGCATGAGCTGAAAATATCTGAACAGCCATGCAAAAAGAAATTACAATGCTGCTCATAAATAACCACGCTGCTGAGAACATCAAAATTTATTAGGTGAAATTCTTCCCTGGAAGGATACTCAACGTACGTGCATCAGCATTAATCCCATTTTTAAAAAAACAGGCTACAAACAGCACACATATACATACAACAGATAAAATGTTTACATAGAAAACCAAGCCAAGCTGAAGGAATCAATATTCCCTCAACAATAGTAAAGGAACTGGTAACAGCCCAGTTTTGAGACGTCAGGGTAAGCTCAGCTTGTAGGAGAGAAGTAGATGGACAAGTTAAAGAAGCTGAACCAAGGCCATACTCCCCAGGGTTTCTTCCCATTTGACTTTCTATCCAACAATAAAGGCCATCATATGTGTGACCTTTTTACAGGCAGAGCAAGTCACACTATAGAGTCATATGGTGTTCCCAGAGTGTGGGTCTGTCGCAGAGTCTAGACTGTCTATTAAACATGCTTGCCCCTTAATTATCCTCAGATAAGCAAGATCAGACGTCACCTAAAAATCCTTGGAGCAGCGCTCACAGAAGAGGGTCAGTACAGCGGAGAGGAAAAACATGTTCTACATGGTGTTCGGGACTCTGTGTAGTTAAAAGGAAAAACGGAATTTAAAGCCGGATACTTCGATCTTTTATTAGTTACGTTAACTACAGTGGAAGAAGGAAATGTAACTTTCCATGAGCTCTCCAGGCAAGCTAAAGACACACACTTAAAAAGGGAACAAACATCTTTGTAGGTTAGGCAAAGGGACTTCAAACACAGAAAGTTCACTTCCAAAACAAATCACTGTGGTTATCTAGTAGTTGCAGGGCAAGGGTCTGCTGAGTAAAACTGACAAGAATCAGCATAAGGACTGTTAAGAACAACCAGAAAGCCAAGTGTCTCTTTACCTTCACAACTTTATTCGTATAACTGAGGAGGACTACAAAAATCAAATAGAATCTGTCAGACGTTTACTGTTTGTATATCAGTGCTCCTTAATATGGGAAGGTTCCAACTCCATAATCACAAAAACCTGCCCTGATAAAGCGGAAAGAAGTGTCCAGCATGCCAAGCCGAATTCATCCTTCCTTCTCCCCTTTCTACTTCTCATACAGTCTTACTAGTATCCCAAGTGGGCCTGGAACTTTCTGTGTAGCCAAGCCTAGCTGCCTACTCACAAGCCCTCGGCCTGGCTCTGCACCCTAAATGCTGGGATTTCAAGCATGCACTCCCACACCCAGCAGTAAGAATTGTTTTCCAATCACACTTCTGAATTATGCTGATCCATCTAAATGTAGTCCTACGCCTCCATAGCCAATGATAATGACTGTTCCCAACTTTTTATCCAGTTGAGGGTGCCGTCTACACTGTGTTGGTAACTTATACTGACCTATCTTGGCTTGGCTGTTTCACTTGTCTAACCTGAACCTGAGCTGTTGACCTAAAGCACCTTGAAAAATTGATTAAGTTATAATAATTATTTAAGGTTAGTTGGCGATAGACTGTGTACGTCTACTGTATATATATACTTGGGGGCCATCCAAGAACATATATCATCTGTTGTAATCATCAATTAATAAAATAAACACATAAGCAATAGTTACTAAATTCAAAAAACATGTCAAGCAAAGCACTAAGTTATAGACATATAGGAATTAGAAGGAACGATTACTTGAACCTTAACAGTGGAAATCACTGGAATTGATTTTTAGGCCAAGTCTATAATTGCCTTTATAGGTTTTCAGGATGAAAATGATCTTTAACAAAAGAGCACAATTCATCTCCCTAGTAATACTTCAATTAAAACGCATTTTACTTGTAGGTACTTCGATCGAAACACCCCGCTACACAGGGCACTCCATGCAGCCACATTCTTACTCCCACAGAGTGAAAAAGAATGGGAAAACTCACTATAGTCAGGCACCACGGAGAGGAAAAAAGCACAAAGAGAAAACAAATTTAGAGTCAAATATGAATTCCAAATACAAACTAAATTTCCATAAAAATTCCTCTGGCTAATATATCTAAAGGGACATAAGACATCTTTCAAACAAACAGATAGGGATGATGAGCCAACTGAAGTATAACCAAAGTCTTATCAAAAAAAACAACCCAGACCTTATGACAGACTGCTTATGGTAAAATCCCTTTCAAACAGTCATACTGGGCAAATTTTAAGACTCAGTTTTGGAATGTAGAAACTGCCCAATCCGATTTGGAACTGTAAACGGCACTGTAAAGGCATGAGACAAACACTAAGGACTTTTTGTCTCTTGGACACTTGCTATAAATTCATGAAGCCAGCACGTCTGCAAAAATGTTAACAAAACCAAACCTGTGAAAAGTATGGCTATATTTCCAGTTGATGTAAACCCATTTTAAAGCCTCAATTCCTCTTAGATTCTGATTTTGAACACACATACTTGCCCTAAAATTCTTTAACAAAGCTAATATTTTCTCACAACAAAAATCAAAAGTGTTTTAAAATACAGACTGCTCTAAGATTCAGATAATCATTCTCTTAAGATTATGTAACTTCTTTCTAAGCCATATCGTAACCACTAACTCCTACCCAATGTGACAAAACAGAAATGGAACTGTTACACCTCCATCTGTTAATAAAGATGAAAATTATTTCTTAATTTACAGAGCAGTGTGTCGCAAGAGTGACTTTCTGACTTCATGCTAAGCCAAAAGTACCAAAGCAAGTCATGGTGTCACAATTTATAAAGCACCCTACAGTAAGGGCAAAGCAAGAAGTTCCCGGCTCTTTAGAGACTCTTGACTGTTCTCTTTCCCTTAATGTTTTCTGGGTCCGACTGAGTGTCACACATCATTCAGGTTCAACTGGAGACAGTGAAAACATATTCACACCACCAGGGTCACACCGCGCTTCTTGGGGAAAGGGAGACCTTCTGAACCGCCTTCAGTAATCGAAGAAGCAAGCACCAAACAGGGAAAAAAAAAATCGACTCTCGCTACCCTTCCCCATCCTGCCTCCTGCATTTGCTCATTCTGTGGTTAAATAAGTTACATTTGCTCTATGGGAAAGAAAAAAAAAGGCAAGAATGCTTTGGGAATGGATTTAGTAAGGTGACTTCTACAGATGGAGCCGAAATAAGTTGCTCTGCTAAGTCATGGACCCCGTTCATTTACATGTAACCAAACGAAGAGACACCCACTTGAATTCGTACCGTGAAGCTGCAACCTGGAAATCTGCAGGAACGGCGGGATCTGAAATCCCAAATACAGCTACTCTCCCCTGGACGACTAAAACCACGGTGGCTCTTCACCCCGGCGGCTCCAGGGATGCAGGCGCCGCAACTCCTGAGGTGCGGTAATTCAAAAGAAGCCTGCCACTCACAAGTGCAGCATCCCCAGGAGGAGGCAGAACTTCGGGAGTGGAAACCTACCGCAACCCGCTTTTCTCCGACGAGATGTCCAGACAGCCCGGGAAAGGCTGCTCCACACCGACACCGCGACGAAGGTGCGAACCCGCCGAGGAGAACCGCGGCCCCGGAAACCACCTCCCGGGAAGATAACTGCAGGGAGGCTTCCCGGCGGCGCGCAGTGCAGAGGGCGGGGCCTCCACGGGGGCGGGGTTAGAGGCGGGGCGGAGTGGAAAGAAGGTTGGAGGGGCGGAGCCAGAGAGCAAGGGGCGGGACGGAGTTAGAGGGCGGGACAGAGTGGTGGAGCGAAGGCTGGAGGGGCGGAGCCAGCGTGCAAGGGGCGGGTTACAGGGGGAAAGAAGTGAGGACGCCTTAGTTGGAGCGAGGCTGGAAGGGCGGAGCCAGCTCGCGAGAGACGGGGCGGAGTCAGAGGGGGAAATGGAGTGAAGCGGAGGCTGGGGGCGGAGCCAGATCTCGAGGGGCGGAGTTAGAGGGGGAAAGGCGTGAAGCCGAGGCTGGAGGGCGGAGCCAGCTCGCGAGGGGCGGAACGGGGTTAGAGGGGAAACGGAGTGGAGGGGGGCGGGGGGGCGGGGGGGGGGGGGGGCCAGCTCGGGAGGGGCGGGGCGAAGTACGGGCTCACCTTGCGCCGAGGGCGGTTGGGTATGTCCGGCGTGGCGTCTCTCGGACTGAGGTCGCTAATCCCGGGGGCTTGAGCGCCCCGTAACCGCGGGCGATGCCGAGGCGCCCTCCGCCCGCGCTCCTCCGCCCTCGGCCCCGCCGGTCCTGCTCCGCCGAGGGCGCTAAG